TTGCCCCCCCCCCCGCGGACCCGGGCCGGTTACCCCGTTATGTGGTTACCCCGTTACCCCGGGGGCCGGGGGAGGGGGTTTTCCCCCCCCCCCGACCAGGGCCCGCTACCCAATTATGTCACTATGTCACTACCCCGGGGGCCGGGGGAGAGGCTGCCCCCCCCCCCCGACCCCGGCCCGCTACCCCACTATGTCACTATGTCACTATGTCACTTGACCAGGTTTCAAAAGTTCTACCTTTGAAAGTACATTTAGCCTCTGAGGTTCGAATTTTCATCGTATAAACAAGTGATTTGATAGCAATATCGCGACGCCGAGCTCTAGAGCGAACGCGTAACCCTAAACCTAACTAGGGTTCGAGGACCCTAGCCGCGAGGGGGCGAAACGGGGCCGCTCGGGGGGTGGGGCGTCTTGTCCGAAGGGTTCGCCCGTGTTTTTTTTCGCCGGCCTCCAACTTTTTCTGTCAGATCTCACCTCGTCGACTTCGACGGCGTCCCAAGGTAGAGGGAGGCACTTTCGCGCCGGACAATGACTGGTAAAGTTGCTGGAAATGACCACGAGAAGCGATTTAGGTTGTTTAGTTGAGATGATTGCACTAAAGAATTCGATGAACTCGGCGCTAACGCTCATTCTCCGAGATCTCGCGCGATCCTTTTTTTTCGCCGACTCAGCGGTAGCGGAGGCCACTACCTGAGAGGAAGAAAATCAGATAGCGGGTAGCGAGCCCCTTCGCTACATCGCTACTCGAAAATGTCGTGTGGGTAATTAGTCTTCAAATATTTTGATTTTTTTGGGTAGACTACCCATCCCCCTGTGACGATATGTAGGGCTATGCTATTTCCGGAAGTACGAACGTAGATAGCTAGATACATAATAATGATGTACTCATGTAGTGTAGATACTGTGCGTGTAGAGTCGTGAGTGCGAACGCCATTTAGGGGTTTTTCCGGACCTACGTACGAAAATTTCAGCCTACAAATGCGTTTGGAGTTTCGTTTGCAAAAACGCGCCACGGAACTGACGATGAACTCTACAGATGTAAACCACTTTTAAACCAGTACACGAACTTCCGTACTTTTCAGACAAAATACCCTGCCGCGCCGTGCCCCCTTCTCCCAACTACCGACGCGCAGCGGAGGCGCTAATTCTTAAACTACTTAAGCGTCTCGCCGCAGGTCGTACAAGAGCGTCGCTTCTCTCCTATTCTTCAATTTATTTGGTAAAAAATACTTCCGGTATGTACGTACTGTACAACGTGTACGTGTACCTTCGAAAGTACGAAAATAATACTTTCGTACTTTCGTACTTTCGTAAAAGTACTTTCGTACGAAAGTAGTTGTACTTTTACGAAAGTAGTCTATTTTCGTACGAAAGTACCTTCGAAAGTACTTTCGTACTTTCGAAAGTACGTACCTTCGTACATACGTACTTTGCGTAGTTATCTAGCTAGAAAGATAGCTACTAGCTACCTTCGTACCTTCTAAGGTAGATAGCGATAGGTACCTTCATTATTCGTACGAAAGTACGAAAGTACTTTCGTACCTTCGTTCGTAGCTAGTTGTAGCGTAGATAGATATCTTCGTACCTTCGTACGAAGGTACTTTCGTACGAAAGTACATCGGTTGTAGTTACGGAAGTACTTTCGTACCTTCGAAGGTATAATACGCGTACTTCCGGAAATAGATACGTACGGAAGTACTTTCGTACTTTCGAAAGTATTTCTGGAAATAACTCGGTCCTTCACAACACTTGAGCACGTATTAGTCTACGACTGATTGCTTGGTACCTTTGAAGGTTGCAATCAGCATACTGACACGCCTTAAACATGAGGGAAAGGCACCTTTAAGGAAGGCGTGCACGAGTCTTCCAGGGCAAACCTGTACAAAAATGCCCAAGGGGAAAGTGCGCCCTTGGGTAAACGCCACCTCAAGCCCCGGAGGAAGAGTAGCCCGAACGTCGCACGATGTCGATAAGCAGCAGCATACACTATTCGATAAAAAGAAACGGGCTCAGAAAGTCAGGGAACGCTCTGGCCGTGAGCAAGCTTTCAGGGAAAGAAATTCCGAACGTGTTGCAGAGGGTAAACGCAGGAAAGTTTCAGGGGAGTATGCGCGTTTCACAGAGTCCTTGAAAGCAGTTTGCGTTGATGTTGATGAGTTGACGTGTCTCTGCTATGATGGCGAACGATCTGAAAGGAACGCAGCACTCGATGCCCTGAGTGCCAACGCCCAGCTTGGTCCCTTCAACAGTTCAGGTGGCACATGCATGGTTGAAAGGCAAGTGGACACAGTGAATATCCCAGATGTCAAACCATGGTTTCGCTCCAAAGAATTAACCCTTCCTGCTCACGAGCGGGAAAGACGCCGTGCGCGAGCTGAATTCTTGACTCGGCAGATAGCTACTGCCTCTCAGCAAAAGCAGCTTAGTCGTGCCGTTTCTGCATACCGTCAGCTTGTCACACACGAACGACTTTTGCCAACGTCTTACACATATGCGGCACTTATAAATGCGTATGTAAACTCAGGCCACATGTCAGGAGCAATCGAGGTACTCAAACGCATGCAAGCTGTGCCGGGAATGATACCAAACGTAGTCATATACACCACCATGCTCAAAGGCCACATGCTCTCTGGAAACGTCGATGCTGCAGAGGCTCTTGTTAATGAGCTGTGTGCAACGCGAAAAATATCACCACTGGATATCAGGGGCATCAACACTTTCTTGAGAACATGTCAACGTGTTGGAGACACACCCCGAGCATTAAACATGTACCACAGGTTGTGCGTTCAATCTCCCGAAGTTGACAGTGGACGCGTGACACCGAACTGCTCTACATACAAAATTATCGTGCAGCTTCTTGCTCAGAATTTGCAAGTGGAGGAAATTTTTCGCGTTATTACTCAAGCAAAAATAGACGCAGAACGTGTTATCAATGGCGAGCCTGGAGGTGGAGCGGTGACAGCTCAAAGCTGCAAGTTTTGGTCTGCAGGTTGCTGTGATCGCGGCGCCAGATGTTTGTATTACCATAGTCCTAACTTTACTCAGCGTGCAGAGGTTGAGTGGGTAGATGCCCTTGCTTTTATGCACGTCCAACTTGCGCGTGCCGCAGCTCTTCTCGGGATGTATAGACTAGTCAAAGAATCGATTGAATTTGCCACCGTTGCGCTAGAGAAAGTTGAAAATCTGCTGGTCGGAAAATCATGTCGTGAGTGGGGGGAATCCCTGGCTGTCGTCGATGTTGACCCTGCAGAAGACTCTTCGGTGATGTTTAAGCGCACCACGCGACAAGAACTTCTTCTCGAGATACAGCGAATGAATGCTTTCTGTGGTCGGGTGTTAGCAGGTTTACAGAACGAGCCAAGTCTTGTGAAGCACCTGTGCCGAACACTGATTTTTAGACACCACACTGTCGAAAATGCAGAAATTCCAGGGAAGACGGTTGCTGCGCATTCGTGCATATTAAAAGGTGAAACAAATAGGAAACCTCAGGACACACCACCAGGTATGGCCACTTTTCTCAGAAATATGCTCTTTGAGAGCCTACGTGTTGGATTTGGATTGGAGATCCAATGCAAGAGAAATCAAATTGACAATTTGGATACAGCAAAAAAGTATCTTTGCAGATGTATTACCGACGACTGTAAAATTGACTTCGGTGCTCTGTTCTCTTCAGACGAAAGTTTTGATCTGCGTTTTTCTGCCACAAAACAATTCGAGAGACATGTGCAAAGTAAATACGAAATCAGGAATAATCGGGAAGCCCGCCAGGTGAAAATGGAAATCTGTGCTGGAAATGGCGACTGGGTAGTTGCACAAGCGAAGGAAGATCCTGGGTCAGACTGGATCGCGTTAGAGCTGCGCCACGAACGCATACATTCAATCTTCTCACGTGCATTCTGTGAGGGCATTACAAACCTTTGTGCATTGGGAGGCGATGCAACGCAAGTATTGCAAAATAATATTCGACCTGGGTCAATTTCGTACATATTCATTAACTTTCCTGAGCCCCCACACCACTCTGGGAGTAGGACTGCTGACAACCGTTTCCACCTCTTAACATCCTCGTTTTTTGAATGTATCCACACTGTGCTTATTGATGACGGAGTGCTCACTCTCTTCAGTGATAATCACAAATACATGCGGTCGTTAGCGAACACGATATCGTCGCTGCTGCACGAGAAAGATGAAAAGGCAGATGAACCAATGTTCCTTGCAGAAATTGCTCAAGGCACTGCTGTTGATGGGAAAGGTTCGACGACTTTTGAAAATGTTGCGGGTATGAGGCTATATCAGGGACTTCCAGGCATAGGCTCGGGTCATATTGTGCACGAGCAGAGTTATTTTGATCGTTTCTGGAAACAAGGATCGCACGCCGATAGGTACTTCATGATCGTCTCAAAGAATTGAGTCTTGATAGCAGTGAAATACCAGAAATATTTATTGCAGTACAAGGCTGCGCGAGGAGGGGGCGTGTAGTGGCTCCTCGCAGTGGCTTGAGCGACGAAAGCTGTGTCCAGGAGAAGGATCTGGGTGCAAGTCGTACTTTTGTGAGAGTATACAATAGTTCAAATGTGATATATAATATGTATCATATTTAATCAGTGTACCGTGCTCAAGTAGATTTCATGATATCTAAATCTAATTGAAAACAGAAATTCGCTCACTTTGTACATAGCCTCTATGACTGAAGAGAAACTTTGCAAGCTTCCGCTGAAATTGAGGCGGAAAGGTCATTTGGCAGGGCAATCTTCACTTGAGCGTCCCCTTTATTGCCGCACTCTAATGAAGAATTGTCGCTAAAATTACTCACTGATTGGTTTCGCCCATATCTGTGTGCCGTGACATCAACAACAGAGCCTTGCCGTGACAGGTTTGTCGACATATTCACCATGCTGCCATATCGAGCAAGTTCCGCAAGTGACCTACTAGAGCCCAAACTAGATTCAGCATCAAACTGCAACAGCTCTATGCGTCCTTTCCCATCATCAAGACTGTTTGTTAATGTAGCGAGAAGTTCAGCAATATCATCAGAATCATTCACATAGTAAGCAGCACCAGAACGTTTCCGTCCAACAGTGCAGGTGACTGTAAAGCCAAATGTTGTTAAAATAGGTGGCTTGCCCTCATCAGTACTTTTTGAGTCCGCGTCTTCCACACCATCGCCAGCACTCGACAACGATTTTCCAATGAATTTCTCTTCACCATTCGCCGCGTTATTTACTTTGGAAGTACTGTCTCCTGAGGTCTCATTTTCAAAGAAGTTGACATTCCCGACATTCCCTTTCCCCTTCGCCTTCCAAACTGTCCCGACAGTCCCAGCAGTTGAAACAGGATATGACTCTCTTAATCCAGATGCGCAGCGATCAACATATTCAAATATGTCCTCATCGCGACCAAGAAAGTGTCCACAGCAAATCACAAAATCAACTAGTCGATGTTCTAAACCACTGTCAACATGGTTTGACTGTTCAACACGTGGATCTAATTCAATGTCATATCTGTTACTACTCAACTTGCTAGTCTGCGACACTTTCTCTGCTGCACCAAGAATGCAGGCGGAATCAGTCACATCAGTATCGCCTTCAACTTGCGGAACGGAAGACGAGGAACCGCACTCCCCCATCATAGAAACTATTCGCTCAACCGCAGCTCCTTTACTTACACCTATGGGTCGGACCTCCACCGATTTGGCGCCTTGGATGACATCCACTGCTGCGTTGGATATTGGTCCAGTCCATAAGTGTTGCAGCAGATCTTTTGCCTGCTGTCTTCCAAAATCTGGATCGGCGTATTTATAGCTCCAAACAAGCGAGGTTTCACGGGTTTCTACATAGCTCCTGGGAGTCCGCTCACAGAAGTAATCAAAGACAAGCTGCACGCTCTCCAGCCAATCAAGATTGGAAGTCTCAACCATCGTTATCCATTTTCCCCCACCATTGAAACCAAGCTGGCCATGTTTACCTTCAAGAGGCGATCGTATGAAGCAGCCATTTTCAGCTGCTATCCAGAGCTTAGGGAGATGAGCAAAAGCCTGGCTCAAACGATTTCGTTCAGAACCACTGAAAATACAGACGGTGGTAAAAGGGTCATCACACAATCGCTGCAAACACTCTTGTGAAACTGGGTGGATGCGAACACTGCTTTTAATAGGCTTCATAGGCAGAACCCCCGATCGAACCTGTTTCTTTGAGCTATCATTTTGCATAGTCAGTGTAGCATTGAATCCCAAGTATCAGGGTCAAGAAATCATAAAAGGTGTTTTGGGCTTTTGTCGTCCAAAAGTTGCAAGTGAAGGAATGAGAGAGATCGTATATATATAGGTGAACAAAGGAGAACCACGCCAGAATTATGAGACGATGACGGGCTGCAGTAAATGGATCGATGACATTCAGAGGGTCAAGCTGTGGTGGGATGCGTTTACATCTTAACTCAGCTTCAACGTGCGTGTCATTTAATTCTGAAACAAACGTATCAGCCCATGCCTGTGCAGTGTGAATAGTGACATGGGTGAAGTTCTGCCTCTGACGTTCACGTCGCTCAGTTTCTGGCATGGTTAGGGCATCTTCGATTGCAGCGGCCATGTCGTTTACGTTCCAGGGATTTACAAGCAAGGCACCTGCTCCGAGACTCTGTGCAGCGCCAGCAAACTCAGATAATACTAGCACTCCCGCATTTTTACTCTGACATGAAACAAATTCATAGCTGACAAGATTCATACCATCACGAAGAGAAGTGACCAAACAAACATCAGTGACTGCATACAGCGCGCATAGCTCAGTAAATGCCAGCGAACAGTCGAGGTGTTGAATGGGTACAGATCCAAGCGTGCCAAATCGTCCATTGATTCGACCAACAATTTCGTGGACTTGCGATGTAAGTCGTTGGTATTCAGGAACATCAGTCCTTGTTGGCACAGCTATTTGGACCAACAACACTCGGTCTCGCCACTCTGGGTGTTCAGATAAAAACTTTTCAAAACCCAAAAGCTTTTGTGGTATGCCTTTTATCATGTCTAGTCGATCAACGCCAAGCATTACCTTTCGGCCCTGGAATCGCTGCCGCAGCTCATGGATATGTGCTTGCACACGATCTGTTGCGAGTGCCTGCGTGAAACGCCCTGGATCGATGCCTATTGGAAATGCTAAGACGCGCGTAAAGTTTCCGTTGTCTTCCACGCCATCAGGCGTACCCTCGAATCCGAGGATTCGCGAACACGCAGAAACAAAGTGACGCGCATAATCATACGTGTGAAACCCAACGAGGTCAGCGGACAAAACTGACAGCAGCAATTCTTCGCGGACAGGCAGCGTCCGATAAATCTCGCTAGAAGGAAACGGCGTATGCAAAAACCACCCAACTTTCATATTTGAATATCCCTCTTTCAATTTTGATGGCAAAAGCATAAGGTGATAATCATGGCACCAGACTACATCGCCATGCTGATATGCATTCAAGATGACTCGAGCAAAAACTTCATTAGCCTCCTGGTATGCCGACCACTGCAAACCCTGATGAGAGGGACAAATTTACAGAAAGGAGCAGATTAGTAATAAATTACAGCAATATTCATTGACAGCCGACTTAAAAAATCAATACTCACGCAAAATTAATAATTTTGGAAACAGGCAGGAAGAAGTATAATATCTGCACAGACTTACCATGTTTTTAGTTTCGCTGAGCTTTGATTCAAACGAGAGAGGTACGTAATGAAACAGAGGCCAAAGAATGTTGTTGCAATATCCGTTGTAGTACAGGTCAACCTCGCATCGTGAAAGATAAATAGGAAGACAACCACGTCTAAGAAGAAGCTGTGTCAAAGCGTCTCGATCAGGCCCTTCTTCAACAAAAACGCCTGGCCAACCCACCCAAAGCATCTCGTAGTTATTACCAACACCGGAAAGTGCGCTAACGAGACCTCCAGCAGATTGATTCAGACCCCAACTCCCGTCGGATTTTCGTTGGGCAGAAATAGGAAGTCGATTAGCTGCAATAATCAGACGTTGAAGCGTGCGTGGTAGTTCTCTCGTGCACTTATCAACTAGTCGGGATTCGTCAACAATATTTTCAACGGGCGTTAGATACGTGACACTCTTAATCCGCTGCAGTGACCTTTGTCGCTCCTGAAGCAACCGTTCAACTCGAGTTGATGTATCTCGTGCAGCACTACTTCCTTCGATAGCAGCTTCGACTGCTGCTGCAGCCGCATTTGTGCTGAGGTCACCGAGAGCTTCGGAGCTCCCCAAAGTCGAAAGAGACTCTAACTGACGGCGTAGTTCTTTCAGAGGCCCGCTCTCTGCGCCTAAGTTTGAGACTGAATGGTCCAGAGAGTTTGTGCGGTTGACGACATACTGGCCGGACAGTGGATTTGCCTCTGCATTACTGGCCATCAATTATCCGTCCTTTCCACCCGAACAACACTGGCCGCTGAGAACGAAATCAGAGCAGAGGGACGTGAAGTTTTTTCAACCGTTCGGTAGCTTTCCGAAAAAATCTCGTTGTATATGACTCGAACGATGAACTCGTCGGCACGGTAGGACGGTGCTATCTGTTGATTGTTGTCGTATGGAAACATTGCAAATAATACTTCCGGAAATACAACTAATAACGTACACGTACACGTACGTATACTGTACGTGTACGTGTGCGAAAGTATTCTATCTTCGTATGATACGAAAGTATTTTCGTATTTATTTATTATTTACCTTCGTATGAAGGTAAATAATGAACGTTGTTATTACGGAAGTACTTTATTATTTCGTACGAAAGTACAACTACAGTAGGGCTATACTGTACAACTTTTATGATACTTCGTTCGTTTCGTACCGGAAGGGCCAGGCTACAGTACGTGTACAGTACGTGTAGCGAAGTGTACAGTACGTGTAGCTAAAAAATTAAAAGTTGTTTATGATAGTTATTAATCATTTACAGTACACGTACACGTACTGTATCGTAGTTGTGTAGCCCACATTGTGTATGATATGTACAGTTGTACACTATTGTACTTTCGTACGAAAGTACGTGCACAGTATTTACCGAAGGGATCTTCGTACGAAGGTACCTTCGTACAACATATGTATGACAGAATAGTGTAGATATTCATATCCGACAGCTCCGTCCGCAGCGTTTATAAATGATGTACGTGTACAGTTGTACACGTGTACATGAACGTAAATAATAAAATCTACACACGTGTAGTAGATTGCTAGCTACCTTCGTACTTCCGGAAGTAGGAAGTACGAAAGTACTTTCGAAGGTACACGACTACACGTGTAGCTTGTTTATCTAGCAAGCTAGCTAGCTAGCTACGAAGGTAGATAGAATAGCTACCTTCAAAGGTAGCTATCTATCTAGAGCTAGATAGTCTATCATAGACTATCTTCGTATCGTTGTACAGTAGCCTGCTGTATGATGCATGTACGTGACTTGTACGTGCACTTGTACACGTACGTGTACAATATTCTCTACCTTCGAAGGTACGGAAGTACCTTCGAAGGTACCTTCGAAGGTAACTTTGAATGTAGCTAGCTACTTGACAAAATGGTCTAGAGTCTACAACTAGCTAGGGCCTACGCTGTACAACGTTGAACCTCGAAGGTACGAAGGTATGATATGATTTATAAAACGCAACTTTATCTAGCTAGCTAGCCAGATATGATATGAGTGAGTGTTTTATCCTAAATAAAGTACGAAAGTACTTTCGTACTTTCGTACGAAAGTACTTTTATAGATAAGTTTATTATTTCCATATTTATAATTATGCCCTATCATACTGTAGGGCCTACAGTAGACTAGCTACGTAGCTAGAGAACGTTTATCTTCGATGGAACTTCCGGAAGCACTTCCGGAAGTACGGAAGTCCTAATAAAGTCGTAACATAAACTACATAGTCTCTATAACTCTCTATACAGTAATAGCTACACTACACATACTATAAATATTCTTCGACGAAGGTACAGTACGTATACTTTCGTATTTTTTTATCTTCGTAGATAAAATAATCAACTTACTGTACACGTACACGTGTACACGTACTTTAAACTTGCATGGCTACATACAGTAAAGTGCTACGAAAGTGCTACGGAAGAACCTTCGTACATGCATTCACGGAGAATTACCCCGTACTACTTCTGTTATGATCTCGTATCATACGCACTACATGTACTACCTTATCAGCTTTATTGATTAGGCACAGCACTGGCGTTGTAGTGGTGATTAAGCTCGCCCTCCACCACAACTTGTGTCCTCTAACGTTTGTAGGATTGATCCCTCCCGATTGGATACAGGTTCCTGTTACTCTCACTCAAACCGTTCCGAAACTGTCTTGTCAGTTTCGTCACTTCGTTACCTCCTGCTTCGTAGCACACGGGATTCGTCATTCCCGCACGCTTATTCGGATTCAGGCTTCCTCAGACCTATCCCAGACTCCACTCGTACATTTCGGCACATTTGCGTCATCTGTGCTCGTGTATCTTGAACTAGACACGACGACCCTTGTCACCTCACGATCGATCATCGCGAGGCAGACTCAGTGTCTAGGTTCCTGATTTAGGGTCCGTACGTAGTAGTACTACGTGTACTCCGTAGTCCGTACTATTACAAACTCAGACCGCACACGTACTGTACACGTGTACATGTAGCCCTACAGTACGAGTAAAACAATTTCCAAATTTTATTCGTATGGAAGTGAAAGTACTTCCGTAGAATACAACGTTGTAGACCAGGTGCCCTAAGTCACCAAATTATTTGCCAAATTAATTTGCGATTTGTTATATTCGACGTGAGGGGGCGCGTCTGACGAACGCTCATACGAATTTGGAATAAAAAAATCGCAAGTTAATTTGGCGTTAATTTGGCCGATACGCGGCTGACTGGGCGTCATACGATTTTCACTTAGGGCACCTCGTCTGTACCATTGTAGTACGAAAGTACTTTGAAAGTACTTTCGTACGAAAGTACCTTCGAAGATATGTAGCAATGTAGTATGTACACGTAGCTATGTACCTTCAATAGCCACCGTCGTAATATTACAGAAGTACTCCCGGAAGTACGCACATGCCGCGCGTTAATAAGTTGACTTATTGCTATTGTATACCTGCGTAGATACTTCGGGAAGTACTTCCGTAACAACTCATTACCTTCGAAGATACAAGATACAACTACTTTCGTACGACGTTGTACT